GAGCCGGCGGAGAAGGGCCGGATGAAGAGGACGATGTGAGTCCCGCAGGGGCACCGGGGGCTCCCCCGGGGCGAGGCGCCCAGCCGCGGGGCTAGGCCGGCCGTGGGAGCAGAGCAGCTTGCCCAGTTCTGCCACCTGCAGCTCCACCTTGGCTAACGTTAGTCACGGGCTAGCGGGAGAACCTCTTGAATTAAGCGCCCTCGGACAGATGCTCTGGGTGACTCTCTAGGTGCAGAACTGGCAAAGCAATGTCAGGAAAACTGCAGCTTTTATTAGTAAAGGGGCTGGTGTCTTAATCTTTTGAGTTGTAATTTTTAACATGTGTCTTCCTTTTCGTTCTTCCAGTATTAAAGATTGGAAAACAAGACTGAGCTACTTCCTGCAGAACTCTTCCAATTCTACTAAAATGAAATCTAAGAAAGTGGGGAAACACCGCACCTACTTCAGGTAAGTTATGAGAAAGAGATTCTGTTTAAATATCTCAAGTGTTCTACAAAAAAACTTGACCAAGAGAGTCTAATATTGTCCATCTCTTTCTGCAGACCTTCCCCTGAAGAAGCCCAGCTGTGGTCAGAAGCCTTTGATGAACTTCTTGCTAATAAATGTAAGTTTGTCTTCAAAAAGTAACATTCAAGTGCAAAGGAATGGTCAAGTTTATATGCCTGTAAGAGATTGCTTCCTTGCATATCAGCATTTTACCTTTTGAATGTAAATAGCTTTGATTCTGGTTTTGAAAGTTAAATGCTTTAAACTGTTTAAAGATATAGAAGTGCTCTTAAAAAAAAAATTGTAGACTAGCATTAAAACATCAAGAATACTTCATTGTAGCGGATTTTTTCTGTAATTCTTGTACTTAAAATCATACATATCAGCTTGGCTTTGCCACATATGAGAAGAGCACTTGCTCACTGAGCTCACTGCTTAACAAGACAAATAGATTCAAATAACTTGGGCAGGATTCTGCAACACAGAAGTTCAGTGATCTCAGGGTTTTACTGTAGCCCTACAAACAAAAGCATTCAACGGCAGAGCAAAACTACCAAGAAATAATATTACCATTTGCACTTTGAACTTGAGTCATCCGTTTGCAATTTCCATTGCAAAAAGTATTCCAGAGATTTATAGCACAGTCATAAAGATTTACTCCAGTGTAAAGGTTAATAGGGGAGATCCCATTAGAGAGAGGTTTTTTTACTATATATGCAGGCATCACAAAGGAAACATAACAACTAGAAATGGCTTTAATTATTTTTACCCCAAAAATTACTAACTCAAAGTAAAACCTGCTGAGCTGTTAGAATGTTAATTTATATACATGTGTAAATGTGGAATTTTTTTACTGTTATGATATCCCTGAAAGAACCAGAACTACAGCAGAATGTTTTGGTAGAAATGGATGTGACCAGTGGGTAAATTCCAAGATTCCTGAAATAGTTAATTGATGTGTATTTTTTAATTTCCCTAGATGGTCTTGCTGCTTTCCGAGCTTTTTTGAAGTCTGAGTTCTGTGAAGAGAACATCGAGTTCTGGTTAGCATGTGAGGACTTCAAGAAAACTAAGTCACCCCAGAAGCTGACATCAAAAGCAAAAAAAATTTACAATGACTTCATTGAAAAGGAAGCTCCCAAAGAGGTAAGGAAAACCTGTTTAAACATAAGTACACTATTCTGTGAATTTCAAGAGCCTTTATTTCTCTGAAATCACTTTAAGATACAGATGCCAAACTGCATTGTACATATTTTAATGTGTGTCTGAAGGTAACTCTCTCCCTGTCTCTTCACCAAGCTGCAAAATTGCACAAGCAGTATTTCAGAGTTTCCATTTTAAGTGGGGAAAAGTCAACAGCTGCATTTAACACCTGTAACATCTGAGTTTAGCACTGAAAAATAGTGTATCTGAATTACTTTGGGGTTTTTATAAAAATTTCCTTAAAGGAAACTTCATTAATTTGATCCTGTAGTAATACAGTCTTGCTTTTTTTACCTCTTCAGAAATTTTATGGTCTATTATACTTTAATTTGGTTCTCAGAAGTCAATGTTGGGGTTTTTCTTTTATTTCAGATAAACATAGACTTCCAGACCAAGAACATGATTGCACAGAATATCCAAGAAGCCACGCATAACTGTTTCAGTGCAGCACAGAAGAGAGTTTATAGTTTAATGGAGAATAACTCATACCCAAGGTTTTTGGAATCTGAATTCTATCAGGAGCTGTGCAAGAAGACTCCCATCACCAGAGCAGCCCAGGGGACATGAGCGATGCAGAAGAATGAGAAGCTGCCTCTTGGCTATTGAGGAAGCAAGCCACAGCTCATGGCAGCATCCTGACCTGAAAGGCTGAGATACAGAGTGCTCAGCCTGTTTGCCATGGTGCAAGGACCAATACTGACTTTGGTGCAGAGCTGATGGCAAAGTGACATTGTTGGAGGGCGTTCTGAGGTGATGGTAGAAGTGTGCCAGCTGGCTGCTGGTGGTGTGCTTCTCTGCGAGTGCTGCAGCATAAGGTGACTCTGTGCATGAGACCAAACCATATAGTATAAAAGTCCTTCTGTCACAGCTGAGGTGGTGATGCAGCAGGTCAGGGCAGAGCTCCCTTCTTGTAAACAGAAGCTTCTCTGTACAGTTACACAGTGCTGGGAACTTGAGTAATTTATTTTTCCTAAACATCAACCAGTGTTGCTGTCATCAGTCACTGCTCACACTGGTTCTGTAAACTGCCTCTAGCTGCAGAGATGTGTTGGGTTTCAGTGTAGCTTCCAGACAGTAACAGCACTGTGCAGCATAAAGTGAGGGAGGGATGTGACTTGGCTTCCAGAGGAACAGGTTCTGCAGCTAAAGCATGCAGGACTGGGCTGTGTCAGCAGGGCTGCACAAGGCCATATTGAGGGCAGAACTTGGCCGAGGCGAACAGGAGCTGTATAGTATTATATTTATATGTGGATTATGATTGTGTTGAATGCTGCAGTGTCATAATTCTGTCTTGAGGACAGCAAGCTTCAATGAAGTCTCTTACTGTTTTTAATAAACTTTTTATACAAAGCTTCTTTTGCTGCTTGTTTTGTGCACACAAACTATCTGGCACTAAACTTAAGATCACCTGCAGTCCCCATACTCTTAATAGGGCTAATTTTAAAGCAGTTCTTAATATACCAGGCAAGTGTTTTGTTTGGGGATTTTTGACAGAATATAAAATGTAATGGGGGAGGTATATTCTGTTGCATCCTCTGCCTTAACTACCTTCCCCCTGAAAGCCAGGGCAGGGCCTGTGTGTGGCTGCACAACAGGTCACCTAGAAAGCAGCCCCAGGCAGCAGCAGTGATACTGGGGTCACAGGGGGCTGTTGGGAATACAGGTACCAGCAGTACACTTGCACCTGCTCCAGACCTCTGAATCAGAGGGATGTGAAACCCATGTGGAGGTGGTATTACAGTAAAAATATTTGACTCCTCACTGAGTGTTTCTTAGGAAAGTTACTGGTCATCGTTACTCCATGTCATTTTTCCTAACTGACAACATCCAAACCCAGTACTTCCAGGACACTCTCTAAATTTGTTAGTTTTGTGACACTTCCAGGACACTCTCTAATTTGTTAGTTTTGTGACTTGTCTAGGTCTGTTTAGGTTCTGGCTCCAGCTATTTTGATTGTATTCCTCAGGTTACAGACTTAATTACTTAGTTCACATATATCCACAGCAGTCAATTCTATAATGGTCCACTTCTACAAGCATCAAGAGAATTCTAACCACAGGATTTCCCACTTCAATTTTTGAAAATTGTGCAACTACTTAATGCATGTCTATAGATATTGTAGGATCTATAGCAGTGTGTGTGTAGACATATCTGTGTGTAGTATACTGCCTCTATACGTGGAAAGAAGCTAATGTGGTACATTTTCCCCCTCCCCCCTTTGCTGTAGCCCCTTTTCTGGGGCTGTGAGAGCTAGTTCTCATACCGCTAAACTTTCTGATCAGTAAAGTCCACATAAAGCGAGCACAAGCAAAACTCAGCTCAGTAACTTACTGCAACAGAGGAAGTTTTTTTCAGCTATGAAAAACAGAATTAGGATGATAATTGCTTTTGTAATCTAATAAAATAATTTGTAGAGCACAAAAATAGCCAGAACTATACCTATTAATGACTCAGGGCAGGAATAATTCCATGAAGCTTCATTGGCTTCAGTGAAGCTGCATTAATCTGTGCCAATTTGGGATGTGGTAATTAACTGCTGCTGGTGTCTGGTTTCAGGGAAAGAAACATTACTAGTTTCAACAGGTGCCAGAGCTACTTAATAGCACAGTGTGTAGTTCAGAGGGGAGATTAGGTGGGGCCATTAGGCAGGGCATCCCTGCCTGAGGGCTGTTCTTGTGTATTTTTAAGATTTAAATCATGAACACTGATTTTTAGGAAGTAAGTGCAGGCAGCTTCACAGCTTCCACCAATCCTGCCAACAGGGTAGCAAACCAAACAAGCCATGCTGAGTCCCTGGTATGGTCTGTCTGCAGTGTCAAGAGAGCCCTGCTTTCAAGGCTAAACTTGACAGCAGAACTTGTATCAACAGAAAAGAAAATTAGAAATAACAGTCTTACTTTTAATAAAATGCAACATATCTGTGCACACAACATTCCTTCCAATTATTGCTTTTCCAGTTCTTGATACAACCCCTGGTTTTCCAGCTCCCAGGGGTAAACTTCACCAGAAAAAAAAAAGGGCACTACAGGTATGCTGGGAGTGCTGCAACCCCTGAAAGATTGCTATGAGTATTTCCTGGAGATCACAAACCACCGATTGCTTTAAGAGATGCTCCTTCTGTACTCTGGGCAGGCTTACAGCTCAGTTAAAATTGCTACTCTGGAATTGGTATCCAATGGCAACCAGTAATAAACTGCTGGTTCCCCCACAGCCCAGCTGAACAGTTCACTCTCCTGCCCGGTCCCACCGGGCTGCACACAGCCCAACTCACCGCAGTGACAGGGAAAAGATCAGGCTGGGAATAGCAAAGGGAGGGCGGCAGAGCTGGGGACCTGCAGGCCAAGGTGAGAGCACTGGTAGGCAGCCGGCCAGAGCACGGGCCTTTTCTTGGCTTCTATCAGGTTGTAGAACTGCTCTAGCTCATATCCCAGTTGACAGCCACCTGTGCAGGAAAATGAGAAGAGGTCCCAGCCGGTAACTACATTCCAAGAACTGTAGCTACAAAAGAGCACGGCTCCTGAACATTTCTGTAAACAAGATTAGCATATTTAGAGAAAGAACTTGCTGCACAAAGCTGAGGAGAGTGAGAACTGGCCATCTCTGGCGGGCAGTGGGCAGGAAGGGACCCGACTCAGCTGGCACAGCCTTCAGCTGCACTGAGCCCTGGCTGAGCCCAGGAAAACCAGTGCCAGTTTGTGCACTGCTAATGTGACTGAGAGTGGCATGTGGAGTCTGGGGATCTAGAATTACTGAAAAACACCAGCAAATCTGGAATAAAGGCAACTTTTAACTATCCATGTACCATGGTTTTCGAACCACAATCTCACCACATTTGGTGCTTTTCTTAGCTGCTAGAGATTCTCCTGCTTTGTATGACACACACACACACCCCCAACCCCACCCCTATTTCTCACCCTTATGATTATGAAGAAAAATTTGAAGTCACAGCTAGAGTATCCCTAGTAATTACCCAAAACAGAACTGGATGCAAAGACTATGCAGTCATTTAAAGAAAAAAAGAAAATCTAATTTTCTAAGCCAGTCTCATGATTTTGGGAAACTAGGTCCATGTCTGGATTTGTCAACAGCTTGTGTTTTTGTGAGTTTGTGTTGACACTGCAGCATAGGGCAATCTGATGGAGAGTCCTCCATGCTCTCAAGAAGGCAACATGTAAAGTAATCTCCTAAAATATAAAAGCAAAGCAGCTGGCCCTCAGCAAGTACTATCTGTCTCAAAGTCTGGAGAGGATCTCTGAGAACAAGGCAAGCCCAGCAGCAATGCTGACTCAAAGTCAAATGGGAAAGAAATGCCACTCAGTAAACAAACAGCAGTGCAGTGCTCTTGCTCCATCTATTTATGTATTGTGGCTAAAAAATATACCAAGACTATAAATAAAATCTGCATTTTCACTTGAAATTCCAGATCTCCATTGGGTTTGGAGAAGGGGACACTAATGAGCCTTTAGGCTCATTAAAGGCTTTATAGGCAGGTGTATCCATGTGTGAATGAGACTTCATAACTTCACAGCTTGCATGGAACAGAAAAGTGACCTTTAAGAGTAGTTTTAGATTTATTATTTTTTTTGGCAAATTTGACTTACTGTGATTCAGGCAGGAAAAAATGGTCAGAACCTGGGACAGCATTCCAAGTTCATCTTCCTTCAGGTGGCAAAATATTACCACAGGTTCCTTCTCATCCCACAAGCATGGCAATACTGGGTGTCACTACCAGCTCCTGTGTGCCAGGAGCAAACTGCCAGAGAACAGCAGGAGTTGGGGACAGGACTGGCAGCAAGACTACTGCATCAACCCAAGGTCCATCCCAGAGATGGGCCAGAAACAGGGCTAGTAATAAACCTACCTGCAACACAAGGCCCTTGATCCATCCACAGAGACAGCTAGATGTGAGGTTGCACCTATAACAAAGCTTAGGGTCCTCAAGGCTGAGCTTAAATGGAGCCCCAGTTGATGGGCAGCAGCTGTGGGTGGGGGTCCCACTGGGACTGCTCAGGGCAATTAAAGCCATTAGCACCCTCTAGGTCCTGACACAAATAGGAGTCCTTTCCTGAGGGTTGTTGTCCTAGCCATATGGGCCTGTCAGCTTGTGACCTTATAGCAGGGTGAATTTTTGAGAAGAGTCTGAACTCAGATTTGTGGTGAACACCATCAGCTCGGGCAGTTCTGCAGATGTGCTAATTGGCATTACCCTGAGCATCCTAGCTGGGAAATGATGGCTGGCCAGCCCAGAAACCCAGGGAAAATAGTCCCACTGTTATCCTACGTAGGAGTTTAAAATGTGAGTCCTTTGGCAATCTTTCATTAAAATAATAATTTAGATCAGAGTTTCCAACAGCTACAAAGTACCCATGAGCAGCAATCAAATGATGTTCCATTAAAAACATCATGTATTCCATTCAAGATAATCTAACTGACAGAAATTAGTACTTATGTTCTCCAGCCAGTTTTCCCACTTGGGATCTCATGGAATAACTTGTGTTTCTGTGTTACAGATTTAGACCAGAGAGCAGCTCCGTGGCTTCTTGGATGGGAGCCTGACTTCGGGATTTCAGGGGATGTGATACTAATCTAGTATTTTATAGGGCTCGGAAAGTCAGCTGTCTGATATGGAAAAGGCACTCAGGAGCAGCGTGGGCTGTTTATTGAGCTGGTGTGTTCCTTCATCTTCATTGATATCCAAGGGAAATTGAACTAAGAGGAGCTTGGCAGGGCACATGCATTGCAGAAGGGCAGCAAGGAGCTGTGCTAGCACCCTCCTGTTTCAACTATTGCTCTTAAAGGCTGACAGGATTAACCCTTTTGCTAAGACCAGCCAGAGCTGACGGGGCTGAGCTTGGGAGAAGGGGTTCTGGGGGGAGCCATTCCACCATCCCAGGGCCATCACAGTTGTGGCATGTGCAGATGTTGGAGGCTTCCGCTGCTCTCAGCAGGCTTTGTACTGCGTCAGAGAGATTATCTGTCGTGTGGCTGCCCTCCCTGGCGTCCACCCAGACTGAATACGTCTGTTTGCTAAGTTGAGCTGTCTCCTGACTTGGCTGAAGTTGGTTCCTGCTGTTTACTTTCCCTGATACCCACTGGGGCTGGGACAAGGCATCTGAGCAAGGGGTGGACTGACTGCTAGGCAGGCCAGAACTCTTCCAGACATCTTCTGTGCCATCAGCAGACCAAAACCTCAGTTTTGCTGCTTGCCCTCCCTGCAGGCTGCTGGGTTTCAGAGCAGGGGCCTTCCATTTTTAAAAGGAGAGGTCACCTCACTCAGCAGCAGCAGGCCTTTGAGATGAAAATGTCAGATAAATATGCAGCGTAAATGGGTCATAGTTGAAGGCTGAGGA